CCCCGCGGCGCAGTAGCGTGGGTGTGGCGGTGCTGGAGCTGCTCAACTTCCCACCACCGTCCTCGCCCACGTTGTCGGTTTCCTCCACCAGCCTCTGACCCGCAGCGCGGAGCCCACAGAGGCCCGGCAGCCTTCTACATGCCTTAAGCCCCACCAGGGCAGCCCCAGCGCCTCCCTCTCATCAGTCCTCATGTGTCAGGGGTGGGGTCCATGGTTCCCACCAGGGATAACCTGCATCGTCTGTCCATGTCTCTGTGTTCATTCCTCAGCGTTCGTTTGTGTGTGTGCCGTTTGTTATTTATTTACTTATTTATTTATTTATTAATTCGTTATTTATTGATGGATGAACACCGCTGCATCTACCAGTTTATACGTTTACTCTTGGAGCATATGTTCTCCTGCGCATCTGGGGACCAAGCTGTCCTCCCACCCCACTCCCTGCTTTGGGTGTAAGGGAAGTGATATGGGTGGAGACACACTGCACGGGAGTCAGAGCGGCCCAGTCGGACTCTGCAGAGCTGCTGGCCAGGGTAGGCAGAGAAGTGGGGGAGGGGCTTTGTGAGCAGCTGCAGCCCTCTAGCCCGTGCTTTGCACATTGCCTTCGTTTTGCGCAGCCAGTCACTGTCCCTAGAAAGGGCACAAAGCAGGCTCCCTGTGTCCTGTGTCTGCAGTGTGGTGTCTTCTCTGGATCTTGTGCAGAGCTGGGCACAAACTCATGCACACAGACCCTCTACAGCAATATGAACCAACTTGAACAATAAACATCTTTTTTGGGCTCCGTGGGCCTGAGGTTGCATGTCCATCTCTGGTCCTTTTTGTCTCCTGTGCCTGTGGGGCTGCAGCACAGCCTTGGGTCCTGCGGAGCACTAGGGTAAGGGCCTATGGGTGGGTGTGCCGCCTGGCTGAGAAGCTGCATTGGCATTTGTGGCCTGCAAGGCAATATCTTTGTGTCCAGCACAGACACTGTGCTGTGGTATCTGGATCAGCACCCAACTGTGAGCATGGTTTGCTGCCAGCCTGGTTCCCAAGGCCCCTGTTGTACTCTAGGCCCTGGAATGGGGCGCGTATTGGAGAGTGTTGCCTCCATGTCACCATTACTGTCCTGGGTGCTTGGAAGACTTGTGACTTCCAGCCTGGGTGTCATGAAACCTAGGGTTAGGGTTGACCCCTGCAGGAGAGGAGGCTGAGGAGGTTCTGGCTCCCCCTTCCCCAATGCGGCAAAGTCTGTCCAGCAACTGAACACTCAGTGAGCACGCAGTCCCATACAGTCACTGGTGACTCACAGGCGAGGATTAAGGTGGAAACAGGATGTGTGCTCATGCTTGGGGGAAGGGAGGGCAACTGGAAGGGGGTCCCAGCTTCATGCAGCTCCAGCACCCAGGTACTCCCTGACTGAACACCAGCCAGGAGGATGTTCACAGACCAGACCGGGGTCACCCCTCCGGTATAGGCCAACTCGTGAAGTGGGGAGCTCTTATCCTTTCCTGAGGGTATACCTATTTCCCTCCAGCGAGGGCTTTCTGGAGAAAGAGGCCCTCTGCCCCAAGACTGGCCAGTCCATGTGGAGGACGCAGGGCAGAGAACTGGAAGGCTCTGGCTCAGGTAGGAGCCAGGCCCCACCCATAAAGGCTCCACCTTCGGCTGGCCCCTGGGCTTAGGGCCGGAGGTGCCAGGGCCCCGCCCACCGCGGGAGGCGGGTACTGGAGGCTCCTGACAGAGGGACCCAGACCTGTCGACTCCGGCCAGCCGCTGCCGCCGCCACCCATGGGGAACAGCCACTGTGTCCCTCAGGCCCCCAGAAGGTTCCGGGCCTCTTTCTCCAGAAAGCCCTCGCTGAAGGGAAATAGGTGAGTGGCCGAGGTGGGTGGGCCTTAGCCACTCGGCACAGGGTCTCCTTCAACCTGCCTCCAGGGCCAGGCCATGAGCCCCGCCTTCCCTTGTCCCCAGAGAGGACAGCGCGAGGAAGCTGGCCGGGCTGTTTGGCACGGAGGCTGGTCCCGACGGGGACACCACTCCAGACAAGATCTTCTACTACATCCCTGGGACGGTGAGCGGAGCGGGCGTGTCCCCACTGGAGTGGTCTGTGTGCGGCCCCGAGGGTGTCGCGGTGGTCGTGAGCGTGGTCCTGCCCACTCGTGTGCGACAGCGTGTGCCTGTGTCAGCGTGTGTACCGTGTCTGCCAGCAGCTCAGGGTCTTCCCGGTCAGAGCAGGGGGATTCAAATCCAAGGCAAGGTGAGGAAGTAGACACTGCCCCACCCTGGAGCGCTCCTCCGCCGAAAGTCTGAGCGGAGAGCGAAACTGAGACCCAGGACTGAGTCAGGCGGGCGAGCGAGAGGCCGGCAGGGGCGGGCCACGGGGCGGGGCCTCGGGAGTCTCGGTGGCATCGGGGTGGGGGGGCCGCGCCTGCCCCGCCCCCTGGCCGGGGCCCCGGGTCGTCGTGGGACCCTGCGCATGCATCTCTGGTTCTCTGCAGTGGGACACGGTGCTCTGTTGGTGGTGTCACTTGAGGGGGGTAAGGGGCTTCAGGCGCTAGCCAGTCTGTCATCGGTTCTAGGCCTGTTTCTCCCTGGGTATCTCCTGGGTACCAAAGCCTCAACCCATGGCAACCTTCTGCGTTCCTTACACTGCCCCCTCCACAACCTCCTACCAAGGCCACACAGCAAGGAAGTGGTTCCCAAGCATCTGCTAGACCATTGTTTCAGTGGAGGGAGCCCAAGACCAGGTCCACTCCTGCCACTGTGGGGCCTCGGGCTGGGTGGGGGGGAGACCCCACCCCCTTTCCCATCCAGGCTGGCGTTGGGTTGGGAGAACAGGAGAGCCTGGGCTGCAGAGCTGTCATGAATGCCCCGCCCCACAGGAGCCCCTCCTGCCCAGGACTGCTCACCTGGGTGGGTGGGGCTCTGCTATTTGGGGAAGAAGACAGACATTGTGAGTCCACAGGGGCTGGGCTGGCTCCTGCCTTGTACTTCTCCCCTGGCTCCTGGCATGGGCTTCCCGAACCTACCCTTCCAATATGACCCCCACGGGGCTGGGAAGCCTGTGCCCCACCTCCTTTTGCCCTCTGAGGTCCCAGGGCTCCCAGTAGGCAATTGTTGGGTGCTCAGAGAAGTAGACAAGGAGAGGGGTGCCTGACCAGGCCTCGGTGGGGCCCTTCCACATCTCCTGACTCCCTTTGTCCAGACCCAGATATGAATACAACACTGGCATATGGAAGGTGGCCCCAGAGTCCTCCCCTGCCAGGGTACAGTAGCTGAAGGAAGACACAAGATGTTGAGCCTCTGGAGGTTGGACAGAAGGGAGGCTCTCTGAGACAATCATAGAGTCAGTCCTCTGGCCCTGCAGCTGGGCTCTCAATTCTGCACCATGCTGCCATGGCCCTGTCATGGCTCTAGGCTGAGTCCTCCCCTGGGCTCCAAGGCTGAGCCTGGGCCGCAGGGCCGGCTGTGTGACCCTTCCTGATTCATGGCCTATTTTTCATGAGTGCCATCTCAGCGTCAGTTCCCACACTGGGTGTGGGTGCAGGAGGCTCCGCCCAGAGGCAGGGAGGCTGGGAAAGCTGTGCATCTGTCTGTTCACATTCCTGGGCTTGCCCAAGGGGCAGCTTAGCTTGGCCAGGGCATAGCAGCCTGTTTAGGTGGGCCTTGCCAGATCCCAAGGAAGCATGACCCCTACCTAACATACCCCTGAGCCCATAGGCCACAGCCTTCTCCTGCCCTAGGTCAGCACCTATCCCTGTCTGACCCCAACCTGATGATCAAACCCTTCCACTTTCAGAGGACTCCGTGTCCGTATTAGCTAAGTGTTGTGTGGACAGTGGCCTTCCTCCCCTTTCCCTCCTTCCCTCCCTCCCATCTTCCTCCTCCCTAGCAGACAAGACATACTTTGACCCCCCAGCACATTTCAGGCCCTGTCCAAAGAAACAAAGACCCCCGTTCTCATGGTGTTCTCATCCCCATGGCAGAGACAGATGACAAAGGGAAGTACAGTAAGTCAGAGTGCGATGAGTGCTCAGGAGAAGAGGAAAGGAGGAAAGGGATGCGGAAGGATCAGGGCAGGGTGGCATTTTAAAAAGGAATCCAGAAAGACCTTCAGGAAGAAGGCAAAATTGGAGCAAGATTTTGAAGTGGTTAAGGAAGTTAGGGCTGATCGGGCCTGGTATAGGGATCAGCAAGTCCAAGGCCCTGAGACAGGCATGTGCCTGATATGAGGGAAGATGAAGAAGAGTAAGCGAAGGGGGAGGGGCGGCTCATAGAGAAGTGTATTTATTTAGTATTTATTTTTCCATAAGCAAGAAAGAGTGAGAGAGAGCATCTCCCTATAGTATCTTCACGCCACAATCCACTCCCAGCCCTAGGCGGCCCCAGATCATGGACACATGCCTCGTATGTTCAGGGGGGTTTCTGGACGCAAACCTGGAACTTTCCCATGGGGATCAGCCTTGCAGAGTATTGCATCACCTGTGCCACTTTAGGAGTATTTACACCAAGGAAATGGCCATGATATTTTGGTTTTGCGTTTTTTGTTTTGTTTTGTTTTTGTTTTTGTTTTTGTTTTTGATTTTTGAGAGGTTTTTGCTATAGGGTGCATGCGCTCGCCAGAAAGACAGACAGAGACAGAGAGACAGAAAGCGAGAAATCACCCCCCAGGGGGGATGGCCACGCTGCAATCCCTTCTCCATTCTCCTCTTGGGATCTTGGGCACACATGCACACGTGCCCGGCGTGAGTTTAAGCCACCGGGTCCGGGACTTGAACTGCGATTGACTACATGGGAGTTCAGCGACATAGCCATAACACTAACTGCTGGTCCCTGTTTTTTGTTTTTTATAGAACTAAGTGTTAAGCATTTTGGAGCTGACACTAGAGACATGGGAGTTTTGAATATTGTGTCACCTAGACACTCCAAAATTCTTTTGACAAGTCTTAGGAGACTGAGTAATCAAAACAAGATTACACATCTTGAGAAATAACAAAGATGGGGCCACCAGGTTTGTGTGGTGGTTAAGGGCACTGGACTCCCACATGGCCGACCATGGTTCGAGTCCCAGACCTAGCAGCTTGCTTTCTCACTTTCTTGCTTTCTCTCTCACTGTATCCCTCTCTGGTCAAGTTAAAATAAATACATAAGTAAATAAATAAATAAAGTTAAATAAAATAATTCTAAAAAAAAAAAAAATCTATGTGTAGTGACTGGCAGGTGGCATAGCCTATCTCTACCATTGTTAGCCTGGCTGCAGCAAGGAAGCTGTGCATGTATGTGTATGTGTGTGTACACGTGTGCATGCACAAACATATGCATGCTTACCACATGTGTAACCTGCCACTATTTATTTTTTAATATTTATTTAATTTTATTTATTATAATTATTAT